ACAGAGAGAGAGACAGACAGACAGACAGACAGACGTACAACAGACAGATAAAGAGACTGAGAGACAGACATACAAACAGATAGACAGACAGACAGACAGGGAGACAGGGATACAGATAAACATATAGACAGACAGAGAGATAGACAGACAGACAGACAGGTAGATAGACAGACTGAGAGACAGACAGACAGACTCAGATTCAGTGACACACCGTGAGAGATGTCGAATATAAAGCATGACAGCACATGAACGCTCAAACTAGGCCTAACTAGCACGAGATGGTCGAGATCAATTTGACTCTCATTCAATGCCCGTGAACGCGTGGTGAACATGCTGCAACCCAGATGTGGACGGATGAGCTCACCGTAACTGGTCGCAACACAACGACCGTATGAGTCCATCTGATAACCAGAATCACATTCACAATGTCCGGCTCGACAGAATGCGTTCTCCGAACAAGTGACATTTGCGCATGGGTCTGTGTTAGAAACAGTCGGTGAATGAGTGGGGACCGGGAATTGCATATTTATCCGTATCTATATATACATATATGTCTATATATATAAATATATACATTCCCCTGAAAATATAGATGTGCGGTTTCATGAGTCGCAATCCGATGGAAACGGACGTTTGTGGGCATGCTCTGACTGATCGTATACAGTTCGATCGACGTGTGTGTATGTACGCGTATGTCGCATGTGACATGGTGGAGAGCAATCGCATTCCAATAAGACTGGAGTGATATCACGTACAAGGGAAGGATATTTGGGAACAACGTGAATAAACCAACCGACCATACCATGATTCGTCCCGTTCGGTCATGACATGCGGTGCTCCACTTGGTCATGTTCTGACAATCTATCATAATCTACAGCTCTAATGAAGCGACTTTCTATCTCGTGCCAGCGTCTGTGTTTGTTTCAGTGTGCGCAAGCGAGTCCCTCTCACGCTGTTCCTCCCGCACGAGTGTCTGTTTGTGTGGCTATGTGAATGTGAGAGCGGGATCGAGAGGAGGATTGAGTTTCGACTCGATGTGATGTGATGTGCTGTGCTGTAATTTATCCTTGTGATGAAGCTATTCGGAAAGGGTGATGGCTAAATGAAGGGAGGACAGGAGAATGAGGTCTAAATTGACGCTCACTCAGATGGGAAGGCAAAGAACGTGTAGAATGAATGAGACGATGGCATGACCAGTTACTTTGTGAACAAACACGATTTGGATCGCCGTGGCCATGTTGACTACAATGACGCGTAGGAGGTGAACGAGGATGTTGGTACTGATGAAGAGGCTGCTCCTGTTGCTGTCTCTAATGCTCCTGGTGATGATGACTGCGATCATGATGATGGTGAAGATAATGAGTAAATTGATGATGGTAATGATGGTTTTGTTGTTTGTTTGTTTTTGTTGACATCGATGTTGGTTTTGTTGTTGTAGATCAGACCTATTGCGGACTCGTTCGTGATGCTTGTGATTCGAATGAGACTGATGGTGAATTTGAGTATGATTGGATGAATGACGGACGATATTTGGTGACTGCTACTACTGGTTGTGATGATATTTGTGGTTTGCCAAATGCGGATTCAATGACTGGTTGGTAATAGTGTGTGTGGGTACACACTTTGATGCGTGTCTGTTGCGAATGAATGTGATCGAGTTTAGCGTGAAATTAGCGAGAATTGGTTTTTACTGTTCCCTTGTAGAATTGTAGTCTTGTTCTTTTGTGTGTTGAACGGAATGTCCACGATGAATTAATTAGCTTCCAGTGAGTGATTCCTATTTAGACGAGACTATGCGAACCGTGATATGCATTTCCTTGTATGCGCTCTTTGTTATGTGAGAACTGGCTAATGAGAGTAGTTGATGTAGTTGATAGATTGTCCGATTTTGCTAATCTAATGAGAAACGAGAAGGGTATGCCAAAGAATGAATGCTTGTAATTTTGCTTATGGGATGTGTGAAGTGTTTTGTAATGGTCTGATCACGAGTGGAGACAAATTGGTCATGTGTGAATTGTCTTGTGGCGAAAAGGTGGGTGGAGCCGCCATATGAAGCGCTGAGCTTATTGCATGATTTTGATTTTGATTGTTGCAGTAATGAGGGCAGTGAAGTGAAGTGAAGTGAAATGAATCAGGAGTTTAGCAAACTCTGTATTGGGGGTATTGGATGAATGAGGAACGTGCACCGTGCAAACAAGATGAACAAACTGGTCAAGCAAGAGTGTATAGCAATCGGCCAGCGCGTTATTGAACGAGACTGTGTGGTGAGCCACCGAGGAGAAGCAAGCCAGTCAGTTGCACGCTTACCGGCTACACGTGGTCTACACTCCCAATATCCGTCACCTTCAAAACCGTCACGACAATAGCAACGCCCGTCCTGACAGAATCCGTTCTCGTGACATTTGATACCGGTGCACGCATCTGTAAATCGGATTCGAATCGTATCCAGGCCAATGAGTGAACGAACCGGTTTTCTCAATACGGTCAAATGCAGTAGGCCAAATGCATGACACGATCCCCGATGTGCGAGCGCACGGACGTGCGGCGGTGTAGCGTTTGAGCATATATACATACATGTATACGAACAGCGTGCGTGCATTTGTACTCAGATGAGCAGATTACGCATCGCATCTGATGCTGTGCATTCATTCACCACGGGACCTACACTAAGCGTAACAAGGATATTCGCGTTTGATTTTGATGCTCACTCACGTGTTATATAGCATATCTCCCACTCACCCAGTCTTCATTCTTTCCAGTCAATGTGTTTCACGGTTGATGTTCCGTGCAGTACTTTAAACGACCATCGTTCTCATTGTCTCTCACTCTCACTCTCACTCCCACTCTCACTGTCC